CATATAATCAATTCTTAAGCGAGGTGTATGTGGAAAAGTTAAAGATTAAAATAAGAAACTGGGTGAACTGGATTTTGTGGTGAATACTTGATGGTATCTGTGTACTACAGGTTTATTACTTTTACATATTAACAGTTTCTTTTGTTGTTTAATATCTTTACAATTTAGCGTACAGGAATCGATGGTGTTCCGCAGATTGTAATGAAAATATTAGTTCGCTAGAATTGTGCTAATACCTATTTCGACACATAATTCAATGTCTGTGACAGCAACAGGTATTGTAAACATTTTATTAATTGACTTGTAAAGGTTAAGTGCCGCACATAAAAATTTATTGAACATCATTAAATGAATTTAAGGATCAAAACTAATTGCCATTTAGGGGAGAATACACTCATTTACTCTAGGTTTAATTACATTCACACAGTTCAACTGAATTATCCCGATTGTTGATATTTATCCACACACGTTACTGCAAGTTTTGCATACAATTTTAACAAAAGTTTTTTTTCGAAAAATGTTTATCGCCGTATGAAATCCGTAAGATTATCAAGTTTTTCGAACTGCATTTATTGTGTTCCGCAGTTTTTAGATTTATCATGACATTAGTGTAAGTTTGGTATTGAACGGCAAAGCCAAGTTCATTTATTTCCTTTCTGTTTCTGATTGTATAAATAGTTAAATAGTATAGAAGTTGTTTTGTTATTGTGCGCTGCCGCGTTAGTTAAATTTAAGATAATAGAACTTACCATTTTAGATAAGGAATATTTGCAAAAAAAACACGTGACGTTGGTTTTTCCCTTGTTCCATTAAGAATTATTTTGAATTTAGTATAAAGTACTATAAATTACGAGATGAGGCTACATTTTGTCTAATGAGTTCAACTTCGCAACAAAAGTTTAATTGATGTACGTACAAATTTAGGGTAAAAATTAACTAACTTAGTTAATAAAGTTAGTGTGCCGTAAAACAATTTTTATTTAAAATATAAGTGACAAATGACAACGCAAAATTATACCAAACAAACAAGTACAACAGCATGGAATTCAGCAAAGCTGTGAACGGTTATTAAAAAAATAATGAACTTGTAATATTGCGCTGTTATTTGCAAGATTTTAAATAAAACTTAAAAAAAAGATACCACCGTGAGCAATTCTTGATACCCTTGAAGAAAACTCCCTTAAATTTTAAAAGGGCTCCGTACACATGCGGGATTCTTGTTTGGTAATTTGTTAAGAGTTGCAATTACAAGAAATATTCATTAACTGAGATGAATTTTTGGAAAGTACAGTGGCGGATTTACATATAGACACACTAGTCACGTGCCTAGGGGCGACAGCTTTAGAGGGCGGCATTTTTTTGCACTATATTTTAGGTCATATTATAAGTTTTAAAATAAGTTAATAATTTTGAATTAAAATTATGAAATAAATTGTAATTGTTAGATAGTTTAAACAAACTGTAATTGTAAGAAGGATAATCGGCATTGCAAGTTTTGACGTGTGTGAAAACTTAATCTTAAGTATATACTACTATTTCTTTTCATATTAGTTTTAAAAATTTCAAGATATAATGTGATTTTTTTTAGCAAAATGATGAGAATATTATGAGAGAACAATGAAATAAGTTTGAGGATAGACTGAGAAGCCCAAAAAAATACGTATTAAGAATAATGCTGAGTCATAATCCTAACATATCTCACACTAATTATTTGCAGATGTAAATCCGCTAAGCGTATTCAATGGAACAGCCAGAACACATCATAAATAGAGAGAACACTCCAAAGAAATATGGTGATATCCAATACCAAGAGCCCTTATTCAGGTATACAATAACTCAAGTAACAGTAATGGCGTATCGAGAAAAATAATTTGCACCTAACCACAAGGCAAAATTTTCTCTGAAGGGAACAAAATACAATTGTAAGCAAGAGCAAATTAAAGAAGTGTCAGAACAAAGTGGAGAAAAGTACAGAGCGTAAACTCTAGCGGCGAATGAAAGAACTAACGTAATAACAAATCTACCACAGACTTAATTTACGTCTTAACTAAACAGGTTTACGAAAGAAATACCTAGATGGCGTAAGAATACTACATATAAACTATGATTAAAAATCGAAATTACATAAATTTTAAGGAAAAGCGTTACAACAACAACCAAGAGGTTTGCAAAAATTTCTAATAAAGCGCATAGAATGGTCAGGAAGCTTGTGCGTCAAATCCAAAATTTCAAAAACAAACTTCTAGAGAAAAAAAACGCAAAGGGCTCTACAAATCTAAATCCATATCTATTTTGGAATTTTATATACTTAGCACAGACCCGTAGGTAAATAATAAAGTTTATTAATGTTTAGTTAAACAGTCTACACATCAATACGAAGATAAAATAGGATGTCTAGAGCCAGTTCTATGCTAACGAATTACTTTTTGATTATCTTCGCAGCAACCGTGTGCATCAAAATTTAATTTAGGGTCAATACAAATTCCTAAAAATTTCATTTCACATATTCAGGTGTCGGTGTCGGTAGGTAAATCATGTAGTTGCAGTGATAATATCATGGATACAGTTTTCTCGTTGAAATAGCTCATTCGATTGACTTAGTCTCCTATGAATGTAAGATATGGCCATCTGATTAAATCAGGTAGCTCTCAAACAAATTAAAAAGAGACGAGGCACCAGGATACCACCTTAGAGTACTCCCTTCGTTATCCAAAGGATCTACAACGGAAGAGAATCAATTGGAAGCATCTTTTAGTGGTATTGTAAGATATTAGCAGGGATATTAGGGACAAATGAATGAACCTTCGTGCAGTAAAGATACACTCAATAGGTTTCAAAAAAAGAGAGCAACACAGAGACTCCTTTAGGGGAAAAAGTCACAGTCATTTAAACGCATTTTTGTTTCAAAATTCACAAGGAAATATCAAAAAGGATAAGACGAGTGTCCTTCCTCGCACAAAGATTCGCCAAGAAAAGAATTCCGACGATGTCTTCGAATTAGATCTTCAAGGAAGTGAAGACGAACGGTTTGAAAATGTAGGCCTTGTCTGTAGAGAATTTAGAAAAAACGAGATCTGGATTAGGTGTGTCTGGGAAAATCATGCGCAATTCGATAATAAAAAAAAGAAAATATTTGTCCTATAATGCGCAATTCCGACATGTATGCCGTTATTACTTTCAGTAATTTCGGTCAACGTAGATTTTGAAGTCATTATTTCAATAGTTTATTTACTCTTTTGTCATGAATAATTTTGACAATCATTGATTCGCCTTTTAAACAAACGTGGATAATATACCAAGTTTGGTAATGTACCCACTCTCCTTACTCTGACAAAACCGCCCTAACATAAATTGCGATTTTTAAAATAATAAATTTTCATTACCAATGTACCACTCCAATATCAAAGAGCTATGGCTTCGTTCCGCTCTTTTTAATGTATTCGGTCTTCGGATGACAAAGTAAAAACCATTATCCATTACGCAACAACGCAGTCTGTGAAATTGCAAATTTATCCACTTATATTTCTCTTACTTACAAAACGAAATTTAAAATATACACGACGATACCTTGTAATTTCTGCTTGCAATTAATGAAGCACCGCTATTGGCAATTCAGTAGGGCGCATTTAATACATTGAGTTGCCGAGACACTGAATGGGGGAGTTTAGAGTGGATTTATTGACAAAGCTGTTGTTTCAACTTCAAACAGCACTGAACAATAGAAGCGGCTTAATTTGAATACAACTCGAAAGAAACGCATTCAAATAATATTTCCTTTTGAATGTGCCTGAAGAACTATATCGTCCAAATTAAAAGTTGAGTGATTTTGATGTGTACTGGTTAATTATAAATTTTGCAGTAAAGCAAGGAGCGATTTCTTTTAAAAAAAACCGAATTAATCCCTCTCCTTTATTTAATCGGCTTCTGAAAGGCTTAGCGACCTAAGAAAATCGATAGTCACTTCCGAATGTTATTTAGGTAACTCTGTGAATTGATGTTTATGCGTATAAGGAGTTTTGTTGTTATTAGAGATTAGGCTAGTAATTTTTTTAAAGCCATTTCAATAGAATAACATGGAAAAATCATATTTTTTACACTTGTAGACCCTTATTCTACTCCTTTATACTCTCGTCCTCCACTGTTAAGAGAAACCAGTTTCCAAGGGACAGTTGCGTAAAAGCGAATCTCTATACGTATGTACGTTCATGCCAACCAATAGTTTGAGGGACAGACGAACGATGTTTCCACACAGTAGCCACCGTTCCATTAGAACGTGAACATGTCGTTACATAAATAAAAGTGCTAAAGCGTAACATGAAAAGAAACGTAGTGTTAAATGAATACATTTTGCTATTTCACAAATAGAGTTTCTTACTAGAACTGAAGATGCAGAAAAATTGAATTTGACGGAAAAAGAAGGAAGCGTAGGTAGTCAGAAAAATGTAAATTTTACTATTTTGTCCATAATTAAGAATTTACACCAACCAATGAATATTACGCTTTGATGTCAAAAACACCAATTTTAATAAAACGAAAATGAGTAAGTGGAAGATCAAAACATCAATATAGTATTTTTATTTAAAGGCCTCCTCTTCCAACCAGCGAAAGCTCTCAAAGATTTATTACTGCAGCCCAAATAATTAATGACCAACGGAATAAGAATCATAAAGCAACGAAAAGAATTGTTTAATCTTCTATCAAATCCCAGCCGGCTCAGTTTTTCAATATAAACAATTCCTTGTATCACGTCGAAAGCGAAGGGGGAAAATGTTTAGATTTAAATTGTTGCACCTGCGAATGCGTTTGTGAAAAGCACGGAAATCAGAGAGTGAGATTATTAAAGTTTAAAATAAAATAATTTATACAAAGCGTACATAAAAGTGAACTAAAGGAAGATTAATCTTATTGTATCTGAAAAGTAATAATTATTATCTAAAAGCGCTACGACTATATGCTACGAGGGTTTAAGGGTAAAGCGATAGACAACAAAAGCAACTTACTTATTATAAAGCACTATGTCAGGCCTCCAAATGTGATCCGAGGGTACATGTAACATTTGGACGCCTCCGTATTCCTTTGGCTCCCATCGTAACTTGTAGTCGTACCAAGTCTGAAAACGTAATTACCCATTAAAAGTAAACTTTGTCTAATTATAGTAAAATTTTATTTACTATTGACATTAAAGCTACACTGCTAATTTGTGTCTCCCTTTTGTAACTTTGTACATTTTTCAATTTGTGCTTTCTTGCGAAATTAGTGCCTTTCACGCATAAAGTGTTTAGCTGATCTTGATATTTGTTTCAATAATAAATTCCACGTGAATAGCTTTCAAAATACGAAGCGCTAAAAGATTTTAAATCGTAAAGAGTCGTTCAAGTTTTAAGCGTTAACCCTATACGCGTTCAATTGTAAAACAATTTTCCCGAGCCATTAGGCAATACAATCAGTAAGCTATTTCACTTTTCCTTCTAGTATTACACTTTTGATTAATTCGAGTTTGGAATTCGTATTTTCAACGTTTATCAGGTCAAGTGAACTTGAATTGAACGGAATACAGAATGGAATGCTTTGGAAAACAATACTTTGAGAATATACGAGATATTATTAGTTTCACTGTTCGGCATTTGTAGACGAAGGTACTTGTGAGTGTATAAGCTCTTCAAAAGGGTTGTTTAGTAGCATAAATCAGACCACATTCGCTTTGTCGTTGTGAAGATATGGACAAAATACGGATGATTTTATGGCCGAATCGGAGTACACATCACGCTGCCCTTATTTATTGTACAATGTACAGGTACATAGTTAATGCTAAATTCGAGCTATTTATTGTCAAAAGCTACAGAGTGTGTCTTCTCATAATACAGAGCAGTCAATTATAATATAGGCCAATCTCGCACTGATCTGAATTGTTTTGGCGATACCATATAATTGTATGCTGATTTTGTGCCATTTATCATTAGTTGAATCGGTAACGTAAAATAGGAATTACGTAATTGATTTACGCATAACTGGAAATGACGCCGGTCAATACTCAACATTGTATATACCAGGACAGTCCTGTCGCATGTATCATAAATTTAAAATAAGATGGTTGCCACTCATTTCATCATTCCCGTATAGGAGCAGGTAGTAGAATTTTATACTGCAGGCGAACTGCAAGTCTAACGACGAGCATTGAGCAGGTTCCCTGGAATAATTTTTCACTGAGGCATCGCGAATGCAACTTAAAGTTGATTTTTCCATTTCTTAATGCTCGAGTGAATCTAATAGAAAACTCGTCTCCCTGTCGAAATGAGACAAGATAACTTTTATTGATGTGATCTGATCAACAATTACGCTTTATTTATGTCCCATGCATTTCGAAATCTATCAGAAATGGTCATTTTTGGCTTTGATCTGACATAAATCGTTTTTGCTCCACTTTAGAAGTAAAAATGTGTTGGTGGTGGTGTTAATTTTTATTGATTGATTTATTTATTAGAAAACGCTAGCCCGTGGGCGAGCTGAACTGAATCAAATCGTTTTTGGGTTGGTTTTTGGTCGTCAATTACGCTTTATTTTTGTCTACTAGATGCATTCTGATCGTGAGACAATGTAACGTAAATTTAATTACGTGGTTATTTATTTACAATCACGTAACAATAAATTTATCTTAATTGAAATGAATTGATTTATAATAATTACAATATATTATTCAATACTCAGAAATACACAATTAATAACAGCGCGAACTATTTATTAATTCGGCGTTAAAATTGGATCTCCTGAAACGCAATTTGATTTGCTTATACAGCAAACTCGAGGGTTTGTGAGCATGATACTACAAAGTATCATGGTTTGTGAGTGCGAACAAAACACGTGATTTTCCCGGACAAGAGTGCGTTACATCCGTTTTCGTTCTTTATCATCAATGACTAATCTTTCATGGCGCCTTGATATCTTTTAAGATTTCTGGAATATTCTCTACAAAACTGTTGCGTCTCGACAGTCCTAGGAAACTCTGGTTCTATAAAGCAGACTTGATGGCGGTACTTGCACGACTACCCTCTCGTGCATCTTCCAGAGGAAAACCAATCCACCGTTCTCCGAATCAATTTCGGAGGTTCTCTGTGGTTAGAGCAACAGACCAACATTTCCACCCCGGCGCCCTGGAATACCACCTCCAACATATTGCGTACGATGCGCCAGTCCAACTTATCAAGGCCACACTTGATCTTTGCAATTGCAAACTTGGTAACGGCACAAGGTTATTTTATTTCAAAGGTTACCTGGTAACTATGTGGGCGGAAGCGGGAGGGACGGAATGTATACGTCATCGAGAATTCTGACATTGACGTTCAACGTTGTTTGTAGTCGCGCGGGTGCTTATTTTTCTTGAGTTATAGTTTATTTGTTTAAAATTTGTTGAATTTTGAAGTGCATAAGGACATATTTTAGCTATAGATACCTGTTTGGTGCAATATAAAGATATTTAATTTGTGAATTTTGTGGGTTTTCATAGCCGTGATTGAAAGGTTAGTTCATCAATTATATGCACTTTTGTATGTTAAAATTAAGTATTTTTTTTAGATGAGTGGCGATAACACTAAAATTCCTCATCCTGGTGTAAATAAAATCTGGTTTTTTACGTTTCCCAAGGACCCTACCGTTCTTAAAGAATGGGCAAGAAAATGTTTCACATCCGGCAGCAAACTAAAATGTGCTGCGCCCTCATTGGTCAAAACGGCCAACCGATGAAAGCGTAGCGTCCCTGGCCGCAAACGTTTAAAAGCAGAGCCACGAACTCTGCAAAGTGCAACGCAATTTCTGCTTCGACTGCACTTCAACAAAACAAAAAGCTCTCCACCTGCAGAACCAGGTCGCCTTGCCAGATCGACCTCGCGCCACACTCCATCAGTCAGAAGACCTGCATCTGGGCTCACCCCAACGACAGAGCTCGCCGTGTGCACCTCGGTTACCATTTTGTACATAATATAAATATACATTTTCCATAAAACGCAACAGCATTTTATTTGGCGTCATCCGCTAAAGAATGTTTAGAGTTTTAATTCCCAAAGGCTAGGTAATGGTACATAGGGGTGGTTCCTATTTTGTAGAACGGGGAATTTTATCCATTTCCACCTCTAAAATTAATTTGATTACATTTTCACAAGTCCTCGTGCAATGTAAAACAGCTTACGCACCACACTCTTTTTTGCAATACTTTGATTGCTTTCAAAGGTGGAAGTCAATAAACTTCCAAGATTTCTAATATAAGATCCACCCTCACATACATATACCCATATAAATCCAAAAATATACTGCAAAAACTAAATTTTTTACCCCTTTTATTAGCATTGTAACCTATGAGCAATTTTCAATGTGAATTCTGGATGACGTTTTCCCGCCTTCAAAAGCATTCTATTGGTTTAGAGTTACCAGACAACCTTTCTAATAAAACAACCTTGGTAACAGCATGAATTTGTAGTTATCCTTTCAAGTTCTGTAGCGCATTCCAAAAATCTTCTTAATTAGGCTTATCACAGACCGGTCCTTTGTCACGAGGTAATAAAGAACTCCCTGCTTCTCTTAAGCGCCCAAACCGAAGCTTGAATTCTACGGCAATACCTATTAAAGCGCATTCCGCAGGTTCTTCAAATAAATCTTCAGATTCCTCACGGACAACACCAAAGCGTATCCTTTGAGTTCCAGAGTAATGTAACATCAATTTTGCGAAAGAAGACTTTCGTGGTGTGGTTTGATTTGGTTGAATAACTTGCATCACATTCGTTGTTTCCGGATTTATGTCCGCTACCACTAGTTTTCCTCGTGGTAGATTCCGGATCCTATATATTAAGTCGTTTATTCTCTTATATATAGCATGTGCTTCTGTCCATTTGCTGAAATAATCCATGGCCACCAAGATGTATTTTGTTTCCAGCAGATGTCTCTAGGAAAGGTCCTGCGATATCAATGGCTATTTTTTCAAATGGACTACCCACAGTGGTGATTTTTATTTCCTACTGGTCCGTTCCTTGTTGCACAACCTGCACATTTTGTACACCATTCCTTCACATCTTGTTTGCAATTCACCCAGTAGAATCGTTCCTGCAACTTAACCAGGGTGTTCGTCACTCCCAGACGCCTTCCCGATATACCATCGTGCATCTGTTGTGGTTCTTCAGATTTTTTTTCTTTCTGGTATCACTAGCTGCACAGTTGTGGCCGTGCCATCATTTTCTACAACCCTCTTTAAAATACCATCTTATAAACGTAACGAGTCCCACTGAGTTCAATACGCCTTTAAAACTGGACAATATCGAGATATCTCTTCTCAGATTGGCCTTCGCTCTTCCATTTTCCAGTTTATCATCAGGCGTAAAACACTCTCACTTTCTTGAGCTGTAGAGGTTCTTCATATTTGTCCTTGTGAGCAGTGGTGACAAACTCAGAACATGATCCTCTAAATAATTTGCTTTACGATGGTTTCGTCCTCCTCGGTGTTCTATTACAAAGTCGTACTTTTGCAATCTTTCCAACCATCTGGCCACTAGGCGGCTTCTGGATTCTTAAACTGCAGTAACCATGACATCACAATACATGTTCGGCTTTTATAAGAAACTTCTGTCCACAGAGATACTTATGGAAATCTTAGATTGGCGTGATGACGGTTAGCAGTACCGTAATTGCATTCTGGTTTAGATAAAACTTTACTGGAATATCCGATGAGTTTTTCGTGCCCATCCTGCTAGCGCCAGTATCTAATACGAACTCCCCTTCTTTTCTAGAATAACTGAGCACCGGGGCCTTAGCTTGTTTGAGATCTTCAAAAGTCCGCTTGTATCCATAATCCCAACTGAAATCCCTATGATCCTCTGTTATTAGTGGTCAACAGCTTTGCAATATCGGCAATATCGTCCACAAACAAATCGCCGGTAGTACGTGCAGAGGCCTAGGAAACTCCGTATTTCGTGTTTATCTTTTGACTGGGACCATTCTTGTACTGCACAAATTTTGTGGGGATCCACTGTTACTCCATTCTCCGAAACCAGATGACCAAGGTATTTGGCTTCCTTTTGGAAAAGGGAACACTTCTTTTACGAAGTTGATAGTCATAAATACGTCTACGAGATTCTTGAGTTTCTCTTCTAACGTTCGACCAATCACAGGGTACGTAACCCAAATACACAGGGCCAAACCAAAGGGCATGGCTGTAAATTTCCATAAACCAGACCCTATGCTAAAGGCCGTCTTCTCGCGATGTTCAGGGTTCAAATCAAATTGCCAGTAGCCTCTTATCATATCTAAGCTGCTGGGACACACGTCCTAGTCTCAGCGCCTTTGTTTAACTCGGTCGGAAATAAGTTCATATTCATCAGCCGAACAGGCGTGCGTTGTTTTACACCTTGCCAATCACAATTGCTCGATCCATACTGATTGAGTTCCATCACACCCAAGCAGTTTTCCCGGATATTTCCATCCATGCGAACCATCACAACTTTCTAGCAACGCTCCACGAGGGTGACATCGTTCACAAGTATTACCTGTAGCAGCGCGTCTCCTTCTCTGTGAATATGAACCTCTCCATGCTCCACTCGAATCACCTCATTTACGATGTCTGCGACCAATCCTTGATGCATACTGTTCTTGGATCCAATAACAACATCGACTGTTAACTTTCCCAGTACACCAGATGTGGTCTTAGCCCTCAGCTTTGACGATTTTGACTTTTTCTTCCGTATTAAGTTAGTTCGTTGCACCGGTATCTAACAGCATCATACAGCTTTCCCGAATGTAGTACCATCTATGTATAAACTATTTGGTTGATTCTTAAGTGATGCGACTTGGATATCAATCTTCGGTCCAGGTCAATGCTTTCCCCTTCCCATCGACCCGCTCTAGTTTTCCTGGTTTCCTTTGTCGCTTGTTGCGCTTGCACGGCGCGAACACCATCCATGAACGTCTGCACCACCAGCTGCTCCATAAAGCTTTCTAAAACCGTCGGCTCAGGGACACATGGAGTTGAAAAACCTTTAATAGTGAGAATCTATAATTGATCAGGGACTGCCGGATACCGTTTTTAATATGGTGACCCGAGTGGTGACCGTTCAATTTTTCTACCCAAAGGAAGAGGGAGAAGCAAGTTGTATCTGCATCTGCATCTGTGGGCGGTATATCGCTCCTAGTTTACCTCCGGAAATCCCGCATCCGTAAGATTCGCCCCCGGAAAATTCACTCCCGGAAGAATCGGGCGCGGGATGTTTGGCCTCCTCCTCCTTACTATCTACAATTGTTAATTCTCAGTTGGGCGCAAATTCTAAGAATATAGTTTTTGAATTTTGCGGTTGTCAACGAGGAGACTTCGACATTTGGGTACAGTAAAAATTATTCAACTTCGTGTAGCAGCTTTAAAAGTTCGGCGCTTTTTAGAAAATATAGCTGATGTATGTATTAAGTAGCTACTCTTAACTATTCCATAAACTTTAATGACGACATAAAATTTAAACAAGGATATTCAGATAGGATTCCAATCTAACTTTATATGTAAGGCAGTAACGTCGTTTGATGATAGTAAATCTGTTAACGTTTTACGTAATTTTCAAACAAGTTGGTTAAAGCCTTTTGTACAGAGTTTTACAGAGTGCAAGTTTAGAAAACGTTCATGCAGAGAATATTTTCTAATTACATAGAGAAATAATTGTACGTTACCTGTTCAACCCATAGATTTGTAGTCATGATTTGATTCTTCAAATTCTGAAACAAAATATTCCCATTAGTAACAAATACGCTTCCAGTTCGTATTAAAACGTATGATTCATAATTGAAAAAGCGCAAAGTCATTATAAATGGAGCAAATGTAGGCAAGCATATAATTAAATACCAGGGCATTAAAGCTCGTTCGCTGCTCGCGAAATACGCTTAATATGTTTTTATGCTTGAACAAACAAGTATTTACTACTGCTTCGGTTTACTATTTCGCTGATAAAAAATTTGTGACGCGCGAAAGCAAGCTTTAAAATCTCCCCTATCCTAATTAATGGTACAAATCCTCGAATATTAAAAATATCCGGTACGCCTGATAAATTGTTTTGCAACCAACGAAATCGTTACCGTGGAAAATATTTTCCTGTATTCGTTAGAAAATAACCACACCAAAGCTTTGGTGGAATAAAGACTATGTCCTTTAGAACGGAATTTCTCGAGTAAGATTTTAGTGTTCTTGCCGTATTGAATTTCTCTAGTTATTTTTCCTTAAATTAGAATGAAGGGATGCCGTTAATTCTTCGTGCGATTTGTTGATATTTCAATTCAGATATCCTTGTTTTAATAGGTGGAAATTCGGGATAGCCTCTCATATCAGAACAAAAGGCGTGTATTTTGAAGGTCTATTATCCTAGCGTTATAAGGGTTGGAAAGAAACGTGGTCTTACTCTCTCCGGTTATCTCGGGAACAGTTGATCGATTCCTTACAGAGGGTGATACATGATTTCAATGGGACACTTCATTTTTCATATTAAAAATATCAGAAAATACGTTTGGTTAGTATAGAGAGGACCAATACAACAGCAATAATAAATATTATATTGCTGTTTGATGTTACCAGGTTCCCACCACCACTTTAAATTGAATTCGTCATTGGAAAGCTCCTAAAAGTGCTATCCATTGCTAACAGAAAAAAAGCATTTGAATAAAACCTACATAATTTAAAAAAAAAGAATAAATTTAAATAACAATTACGATTTGTTATTTGTATTTGTTATCAAGTAGATGTAGGACACGTTTTCTTTTCTTATTAATCACTATAATGGAACCCAAAACTTACGCAGAATATTCGCTTATTCACTGCCTTTTCACTAACAATGAATCTGTTCAAAGATGAAGCTGAGTTCCAACATTGTCTTGAACGAGTGCAGCCTTGTCGAAAAAAGTGTATCATTGCCAGAGGAGTACCTTATTGAATGCGATAATAGTCGTAAGGTATTAGGTAAATGAGCATCGATCTACCTTCATCATATATACATTTAATATTAGATTTTAACACAAGTGGAAGTTAAAATAGAATGTTATCCACTATAGTAGTAAATATTCTTATTGTCACTACATTTAAAATACTAGTGTAGCGAACACTCCAAAAATCTAAATAGACATCGAGGCGCTATGAAAGATTAGTCGACGATAAAAAGCGAAGGCGAATGTGACGTAATATTTCGCAGAAATATGACGTGTTTGTTAAAGAACATTGTAAATTGTCCTTGATCTAGAAAGAATGTTGTTTACTATATAAGGAAACCGAATTGTGTTTCGAGTCAGTGTCAAATTAGATGCGCTTGTGTTATGTCATAAATTGCAAGTGATAAATAATAATTACTGTTATAAATTAATCCATTTTAAGACTGTTCCAAATAAATAAAACCATCGTAATTAATTTTACGTTACAGTAGAAAAGTTAATTATTTGAATCCTATGTGTTGATCATTTTTGTACAGAAATGGGAAATTTATAGATACCTACTCGTATATTGTAAAAACTTGTATTTTGTATTCGTTGTTATAAATTAGATGAAGTCAAAAATTAATTGCTGTAAATTGAAAGCAATAAGACCTGTATTTGATTGTGTAATCAAAATATTGCCTCAAACGTATACTTGTAGATTGCAATCCGCACTGCGAATACTATTTGCGATATGATTTGCACTGAAATCCCGAGGTAGAGTTATACTATTGTAGTGGAAACTGCAATTCCAAATAACCAATCCTGAGGATTGTTATTGGTTATGCTGGAGTTACTTCGGGCATGCTGTAAGCGTTATGCCTGCTGGAGGACTTTCGGTTCCAGCATACACACGCTTCTTACTCGATTTTTCTTTTACTTACGAATACTGCAATAGTTGTAAGTTATAACGTGCTATATAAAAAACTAATTGAACGCAACCCAAAGTTGTCAGACAGGTAGCCGGTAGCGGCGGAAAGGCTCTGTTTTCGGCCAAACTTAGTTCAGGAACCAAAAGCTTCTATGTGTTTAATTACTACCCTTCCAGGGGACTAGTGTATAAATGTTAACGCATAACGGTTTTGGCGGAAACGTGAGTACAAGTGTTGACGTTAGTTAGTGTTAGAAAGTTATTTCATTACTTAACAGAATCATATCAACATATTCTTTTACAGAAAATGTTATGCGTGTCGTTGTAGGTGAAAAATGTGTATTAATAACCCCTTAAGTATGTCCTCACAATATCTAACTATCATGTATCTGATTATTTATGAAATAAATCTATATGCTGTCTACTTTTTCTCCGTTTTACAGCACCTCGTTTCCGGTTTTGCAAATAAAATTGTAGTACCTCCGCTGCGCGTTAAAAAAACACACTTTTAAAGCGAAACAAGTAGGCTCAGCATGTATTTACCCGTTGCCAGGCCAACAACTCGTCAGTCTTCGTTTTTGAAGCGAGTTCTTTTTGGTTGATATTATGCCGAAGCATTTTAAAAGCGTAGGAGTGAACTTCTTTGGAAGTTTGTTAAAGAAAATAGATCGACGACTAGAGAAAGAGTCGGTCCCAGGTTGAACGCACCATAGGGAAACAGATGTATTTTATTGGCGAAGGATCCACGAAGCCTTTGATATGTATTAGAAGTTAGTGTTCAACGTACGTTATTGCTAGAAAGAGATTGGAGTAGTACATCGAGCGCTAATTTCAAAGGCCTCGCGGATCCTTCGCGAAAAAATACATTGTCGTTTCCCTTTCCCTTCCCGTTTTGGGGTTTTTCAATGTCCACTAGACAGTAAGTTTTAATTATACAGGCTTGCTCATAAAGGCGCGGCACACAAAAATTGCATTTTTTTATGGAACACCCTGTATATTATTCAATATTTCAATTCTTCTCTCAATTTGAAGCAAAATTTGTTAATAACCATAATGTATCTAAATTCAATCGTTTCCGGGTTATCGAGTTTTTAAAATAAACGCTATTATTTTAAAATTCATTAATAAATGAACAAAAAACAATAATTAATGATTCCAAACAATCATAACAAACTTCACAAATGGTTTTTTTCAGAACCACAGAATGTTTTCAAAATAATTTCGTGATGTCATTCATTATTGTTTTTTATTCAATACATTTTAAAGCAATACCCTTTATTTTCAAAATTCGATTGCATTTGGGTACCTTATGCTTCTTACCAATTATGCTCAAAATTGAAAGAAGAATTTAAATATTGAATAATATACAGGGTGTTCCATTAAAAAAATGCAATATTGGTGTGATACGCCTTTATGACCAACTCTATATAATTAAAATTGTCTAATGGACATTAACGAAGTCAAATCTTTTGCTTAAAACTTTTTTTGATACCTTGCATAGTTTTCCCGATAATCGACCGTTTCCAGACTTATCAGCGAAGCTGTATATGCGTATGATATTGGCCAAGGAGCATACTCTCTCTGGATCGTCTTTAACTTTCAAACAGGAAAACGCCAAACGTCCGTTATTGCGGAAGAGTGGAGTGCAACAATTGAGACAAAGTTAACGTACTCTCTTCACCCAAACCAGAACACTAGCTTACAGATAGGGTCATTGTAAAGGACCTCAGATATCGAAGTACGGACCACAGTTTGAGTTATTTAACCCCACATGGTCGTGTTACATAGAAATCCTGATAAACATCAAGGCACTGGTCATCAGCGATCAAGAACGAAGGCCGATAAGTCGCAATCTTTCCGGAAAATGTATTTTGCTTAAGAATGTTCGAGAACATTCGGGAGCACTCGAGAACCCTTGAGATTGTTATATAAGCAAATCGAATTGCGTTTCGGGACAGTTAACTGTTGTAAATTAATTAATTTTGACAGTTATTGTTAATGAATTGTAAATAAATAGATCACGTCATTCCAAAAATCCTAATCCCAGACCTCGTATTTGTGTTGCTGAATCGAACACCGTACCAATTAATGCCAATGAAGACAATCCTATTCAGTTCTTTTGTAAACTAATTTCCACCCATCAAATGTAGGGTGGACATGATGACAAACTACAGAACCAGAATACACGTTTTGAACTCGTGTTGCTTTATGTATCAACGTTCATAGGTTTTCACCAATAAAATGATGTTTGCAAAAGTTCTAAATAATATAAAAACTTTACCGCAAAAGTTAAACTACAACGAAGTCTAAACCGAATATGTCATTTATTACAGTGAAACTTTGTTATCCCGTAGAATCGGATTAAATGCTCCGGCACTATTGTCTTCCTTTTTCCAAGCACTTTGTTTACTGTAATGTAACCAGCTAATGTACTGTTACGAAAGTATTCCGTTATCTAGATTCTTTTTCAAACAAATTTTACTCTATCGTTGCCAAATCCTGTAAGTGCGATTGTATCGTGACAGAATATTTTACCTTTGCACTCTCATCTGAAAGAATTGCGTCGGGGAAAAGATTACATATCTGATTTTCTTACGAGTTTCATGGCAAGCGATAACAAAAATAAAACTTTATTTATCCGAACCAGCATTTCGTGTTGAAACAAGCAATTCAAACAATCTTTAGGACCTAATAAATGATTGACCGATATCTGAAGTTTTATTCTGTTGCGTTTGCTTTCTTTTTTCGTGGAGCCGAGAGTTAGAATGTAAAAAGAACACTAAAAGTATGCACTCGAATGTGAAGACAGCAAAAGTTTAATAACAGACGAATCGATAAAGCAAGTAACAAATTCAACAAACACAAAATCGTCTGCAGGAGAAGAAGATAGATTAGGGACTGAGGTAATAGAGGTAATTAAATTGAAGTTTTAAAAAGCAGGGCGAATAAACCAATCAACTTAGAATCCATGACCTTTGTT